GAGTATTTCTCATATATTTCTTATGATGTTTTCTTTGGCAGCAATTATGCTTTCAGTCGATGTTCCCCTTTCATTGTGTCCATGATTTAAGATAAACAATAATGTAAGAAAAAAGATTTTTTTTTACTCCTTTACCTCTTTAATGAGCACCATCCTAGCCCTAAGGAAGCAAATTAGAGGCAGCTCAGCCGAGCTAATGAATTCAGCCATTTTGGAGCCTCCGTGTCCAGTTTCCCGGCATGGCATTGCTCTACGGTTGTGTGCTGTACAACTGAGTCCTCCACCGGGCACATAATGACCCGGCATGGTGGTTATGGGCCCTTAGGGGGAGATGGGAGGGGGAGAGAGTGATCTCAGAGCAGGTCATTATACAGCTAGAGGGCACACACACACACACACATGCGCGCGCAAACGCACGCACATACACAAACACACTGCGCTGACACTTTCAATACATCCTCCATTGCCTCCATCTCCCATATGTCTATTCCCCCACTTTTTCTTTCCAAACATCTCTTTCTATATTATCTCTGTTCTCCTGCATCTATCTGAGTTTTCTTTCTCTGTATTCTTGATTGTGATGATTTAAAGTAATTATTGCAAGTAACTGTGAAATCTTTTTCTCCTAAAATTTATACAGAAATAAATCGGAACATCTTATTTTTCTCCAAGATCATACATTGTGTTTGGAGATTTCAGGTGTTTTTTATTGGATAAACAAGAGATTATTCATCCAGGAAACTAACTGGTTATACTTGCTTCCAATTAATAGTTAAATATAAAACCAGATTGATTTTCCTCTATCCCTGATCAAGAGTCACTTAATTATTCTTTCTTTTTAACAGTTAAATATAGGCTGGTGTTGGTTACACGGTAATCGGACCCATGGTCTGTGGTGAGCTCAAGCTCACCGGCCAGCTTTAATGTTCCGACCAACCCACATCAAAGAGAGTCCCACCAGGCTGCCAAAATCACACACCCTCCACAGCCTGACCCACTCCCTCTGTGTGTATGTGTGTGTGTGTGTGTGTGTGTGCATGTGTGTGCGCGCGTGTGTGTGTGCATGTGTGTGTATGCAGTGTATGCACAGAGGCAGTGGAAGGTGACTGAGAAAGTTTTGCTCTGTGCGTCCTCTGGTAGCGATTAAGTTGATGGTTAAGAGTCCCTGCCACAGAACCCTCTCTCTCTCTCTCTCTCTCTCTCTCTCTCTCTCTCTCTCTCTCTCTCTCTCACACACACACACACACTTGCACATGACAACTCACATGCAAACACATGGAGTCACTGTCTCACTCACTTGATCAATGGCACACATCCACACAAACACACTCAAACATGTGCACAGACAATCGTCGCACGCGCACTCACATACACACTCATGTGGTGTGTAACTGTCAGGGTCAGTCAGAGGGCAGACGCTGTGCTGATGTATTGAGAGAGCTCGTCTGGGAATGTCCTCAGTGTGGAAACACATTCCCCGTATGCACGCACGCACACACACACTCACCACAGATCTAACCAGCTAGAAGGGGAAAGGAGTGAAAAAAAAACACTGATGAGGCCCAGATGATCACCCCTCCTCTTCTCGGTCTTTTTCTCTTTCTTCGCCCACTCTTCACCCTCATTCCTTCCTCTCTTTCCTTCTCTCTGTTCATTGTCTCTCATTTTTCATGTGTCCTATCTAGCTACAGGTAGAGTGCCCCCTAGAGGTTAGTTAAGATGGTGGTTTAGTCACATTATCATCAAGCACTGGCTGCAAATATGACTACTTTCATAGACCCATATCCTTCTTTCCGTACTGTCCTCCTTGAGAAAAATTGAGTGTTTAATTTGCAGTTTACCCAATTTATTAGGCTATCATAAAAATGTTGAATCATTTTGTGTAAACATTATATCAAATAGTGCCAAACAAATTAAGGTTAAAGAGAGTAAAAATATAAGCTTTTTTTAAGTACAAAAGATTACACTGATTATTCTCAAAATCGAAAATACTGATTTGCAGTGGCTGTATACATGATAATGATCACTAACTTGTCATAGCTTACATTTTTATTTAAAGTCACAGGGTATATAATAGGAAATTAAATGATTTTGTGCATATTGTTCCTGTGATAATATTTATTAATAATAATAATGATAATAGAAGAAGAAGATGATGAAGAAAAAAAATGTAGCCTACTGTTAATGATTTGTAGCATGTTATCGGAAACCAGGTTTTCAATTGAAGCACTGGTATAAGATTTTACATATATGTACAGCGGGGTGCAATGAAGGAATGAAGACAAACAATGACAAAGTAGATGAAAAAAAAATTTTTCTCCTCCTGTTTTTTAAGATTTTTTTATTCTTTCTTTTGAGACATTGTCCTGACCTTGCAGCATGTCAGATGCTATTTTTTTCTCTGTATATCTGTTTTGACCCTTCTCCCTCCCCTTCTTTTCTCACTCTTCCATGAAACACGCTGTTCGAATTGTGCCATTTGCTTTTTGTTGGCATCGAACAAAAGTCAAGTATATACAAAAAATTTAAATCATCAAGGACTTTCAAACCCACTACACACACCACATTTACACCCATGTACACACAATCTATCCTTCCTCTTTCCTTCTATATGAAGGTGGGGGTGAATTAAAATACAAAGATGGACGCCGCAGCACCAGCAGTGAAAACTGCAATTTCTGCAGTCCGGGCTCTCTTGGCTGACAGGAGATATTTCATCCCCGTTGTCACCGACATATTAATAAAACATCAGGAGCAGAGTGCAGCCCCAGTCTCTCCCTATTTCACACACACACACACACACACACACACACACACACACACACAGACACACATACAAGGATGGATACATACACCTTGACATAGACTGTGTATACATGTGTGAAAAATGCATACAGCCCTCACACACGTGCTAATTCAAAAATATAAAAGTGTTCATTAATATGAACATACACACACACACACACACACACACACACACACACACAACTGCAGTTTTCCACCTCAATCACATGCCAGCATCTGCCATGAAAATTTCATGCTGTATATAATGTCCACTTAATGTGTTGGCGCTTAAAGCAACGGCGCCAGTGCTTAGTCTATGTGTCTGTCTGTGCCTTTGTGTGTTTGTCTTTGGTTGTATGTGTGTGTGAGTGTGTGTGAGTGTGTGTGTGTGTGTGTGTGTGCGTGTGTGTGTATGTGTGTGTGTGTGTGTGTGTGTATGTGTGTGTGTGTGCCCCACTGTATGTGAAAGGGTTAATCATATCATGTTTCCAAGGGGGGTTTTGCAGTCTGCTTGTGCTCGTCATACAATGGCCAATGTGATTGTATGCAAATGCAGGCTGACCTCAATGCACCCTTTGCCTGATTTCTATGAATATGACTCTATGTGAGTGCATGTGTGTGTGTGTGTGTGTGTGTGTGTGTGTTGTAAAATATGGTTATTAAGGCAGTGCAGGATTGATGAGCGCAGCTCTTTTACACACACTCACACAAACACACATGCACACAGACACATACACCGGTTTCATTCTCTGGCAGGGTGAGGGGTTTGTGGTGAAAGAGACCCCCCCCCTCCCCCCATTTAGAAGACATGAAATTTTTAACGGTTTTGCTCTCTCTCTCTCTCGCTCTCTCTCTCTCTGTCTGTGTGTGTGTGTGAATATGATACTGTGTGTGTATGATTTGACACCTATGTGCAAATGTTTCTGTTTGATTTTGCATTTGTGTGTGCCAGCCGTGAGATGGAGGAGGGTCGCATATGTGTGTATATATATGTGTGTATATATGTTTGTATGTGTGTGCTGTGTGTGTGCATGCCTGGTTATCTGGCCTCTCTCAGACTGCTCAAAATTCATTACAAAGTGACATCAGCCCAGCCGGAGACAAATGATGGCTGGATGAAAGGGATCGCTGGGGCTCGGCTAGGATTAGTGTTAGCTTGTGCTGGCGACACATATACACACTTGTACACACACTTGTACACACACACACACACACACACACACTCACACGCTCACAAAGCACACACACTCACACATACATACACACACTTTAATCCACTGGCAGAACACTGCAGATACACAGAATTATCAAACAAGGGGCTGAACTCTCAGAGATGGGCAGGCTAATCTGCTAATAGTACAGAGCTGCACATGTGTGTTGGTTTGTGTGTCTGTGCATGTGTGTGTGCATGCACGCACATTTTTTACGGAAATATACCGAAATACATAGGCATGACATCTATATAGATTTACATATTATACTTATATATTATATTATATATATAATACTATTTATATATTTATAGAGTAGAATCGGTGTTGTAGGCTGTATATAATTTTAGATTGCTAAATAGAATAAGTAGAATCAATAACTTTTTCAAGTAATTATGTTTTTACATTAAAACCATATGATTTCTGTTTCCTCTATGTTGTAACATAAACATTTGAAACTAGCCTAATATAATAATTAAAATGGAAACAGGAAAAATATTTAACATTTTTTTAAAGAAAATATATGGACATGCAAACATTATTATACCTTGTCTTCAAAAAATGGTTTGAATAGTGCCTTCTGAAGAGGCGACCAAATTGACTAAAATAGTTTCCCGGTAGGGCATATTTTGTTTTCACACAACTGCCCTGCTTTCATACCATGCATGTATTATGTTTCACCCTCTAGAAGAGGCATGGCAGGGCTATTTTCAACAGAACATGTGTTCAAGTCACTGGAAGCATTATTTGTGGGTCAGATACACAGTAGGGTAAACTTGACATTTGTGGAGAAAAAAAAAGAGGTTTATGAGGATTAACTGAACATGTACAAACAGGAATATTTTCAAAAGACTCTAATATGATACAGCAATATCTGAACATCTGCTCTATTTGTCAAGTCAAGCACCATGGGAGGTTTATTTTTCAGTGCCCCAGCCAGCAAATACTGTTTTTTAAGAGAGCATCATGGGTAATGTAGTCGTTTTCTCTGTGCATTTTCAGAAGAGACTGCAGAGGATGGTGAGCGACCTCCTCGCTCTTCCTCCAGGCATGGACTCAACCTCACTGACCGAGACTTGACTGACAGCAGGAGAAGTGACCGTAAGTCCACACACACGTACAAAACACATATGAACCGTAAGCTTCCCTTCTCCTCTGAGTTATCGTTCATCTCCCTCTCTCTCCCTCAGATAAGGTTCTAACATGTGTGTGTAACATGTGAATGCTGCTGACTAGCCTCCATGTGACCCGCTTTAATCGTTTCCATCTGACAGAAAGAGAAAAAGAGAATGAGAGAGAGACAGGGGAAGAGAGAGTGGGAAAGAAGGAGAGAGAAAAAAAAACAGAGGAAGAGAGAGGGATAAGTTGAGTGTTGTGGATATTACAGGCAATGTCCAGGCCCCAGATTATTTTTTAATCAAATCAGTTTGCGTGCTTGTAATTTATAAGCGCCTTGCATTAATCTTTTCTCGTTCTTGTGCCCTCTCCGATGACATATTAATTTTTCATAAGCGCAGGATTAGATGGGGGGGCCTGTGTATATGTTTTTCTAATATTGCACCACATCCCCGCAACCCTTAAATTAGTTTTTTTTCCCTGCACCCTCCCTTCATTTTTCTTTCTCTCCTATTTTTCTCCAGCTCAGTCTATCCCTTAATTGTTGTCCAATCTGTGACCCTATCACCAGGCATTACCTCGAATAGAAAAAGAGCACAACAGAGAAAGGGGGAAGAAGAAACAGTTTATTCGTTTGTAAGAATGGCAGTGTTGTGAGTGGGGAGGGGCAACAATCTGTACAAGACAGCTTTTTCTTTTTCTTTTTTTTTTTTTTTTTGTTATTTTGGGCGACGTAGGAGCACATAATGCCTCTGCTGCCAGGCTGTGGTCGGGATAGCCCCGGCTTTGTTAGATTTGATTTACCCAAATAAGAATTCATATGATCTTTTTATGTATGAGATGGAAATCCATGGCTGGGGATGAATATTGCATGGGGTCTCTCTCCTCTTTTTTTCTCTGTCATTGCATGGGGTACTCTCTCTCTCTCTCTCTCTCTCTCTCTCTTACTCTCATTCTTTCTCCCTCTCTCTCTTTCACACACACACCTTCCAACTCCCACCCTCTATCCATCTCAAGCTCCCTCCCCACCTCCTCTTCCTACCATGCCATACCTAGCTCCATAATGTGAGGCTCAATGAGGCAGAAGGAGAGCTGAGTGAGGCTGGGGCCTATTAGTTTGGCTAGTCATCTATCTTTCAGCTCTATCTCTCTGACAGGCCTGTCTGACGGACTGGCGGGGAACCACCATCCATGCATTTACTGCCACATATTACCACCAGCGTCATTTAACACCACCGCACACATGCAAAAAAGTCTCCGGGTCCCTCCTACTTTACGTATGTAGGCCTGAGTGTCTACATACATACCACATTTTAAAGTAGGAGGAACCTGGAGACTTTTTTTTCCAGTGTAATTTATCAGATGTCAGAAATCTATTTAAGAAAGCACAATTGTATGCCTTTTTTATTTTAATGAATAATTTTTCTAAGAATCACTGTGTGGTCAGTTGCTAGGAATACAGATATAATATTGCTTGTGGGTTTTTGGTGTTTTATTTTGCATTTGGATTAAAAGAGGTTTCAGAAAGTCAAATGCCAGAAAATGCAAAAGGGAGCCTGGTGTGTCAGTGTGTTGTTATACTAGGGTTATCATCAGAGACAGGGCCTTGTTTTTCTCTTTTTCCAGCTTAATGTAGTAAGATTTTGCATCTCCTTCCTCAGCCCCAAATCTCTGGCAAGCTTGAAATGTTCCGATCTGTGTGTGTGTGTGTGTGTGTGTGTGTGTGTGTGTGTGTGTGTGTGTGCGTGCGTGATTGCGTGTGTGTGTGTCTGCATGGAGATCTCCAGGGAAGGGATTACAGTGTGACCAAGTGAGCAGTGAGCAGTGTGTTTGCGCACTTCATCTCCAAGACCAAGATCCTTTAAACAAAGAGGGGCAGATAGATAGAGAGGGGAAGAGAGAGACAGAGAGAAGGAGAGAGAGAGAGAGATGGGGGGGGGCAAGGAAAGACAGAGAAAGCTTTTTCCCTTGCTTCATTTACATTGTCTTTTTTAATCCCATGTCACTTCAGATTAATTATAATCCATGTTACATTCTCCATGCAAATGTCCCCTATGTGGATTACTTCCAGATAGCTTTGTGCTGTGTGTGTACTGTAGATGTCGCATGTCGCCACCATGGCTCAGGGGCCCAATTCATATAAATAACCAACTAAACAAAGGATCTGACATGGAAATGAGCCTGTGAGGCAGCCTAAGGAAATTACAGATCTCTACCTGCTTCAAATTAGCAAAGAAATGACTCATTATTCCCACAGACAAATGTTATTTATCAATTTTTTTTACAATTAACAATTTTAAATTGTGCAGATAAGGGTTGGGGGGGGGGTGAAATTGAATCACATGCAAACAAGATCAGATGTTAAATATTCTATATCTACTTGAAAATATATTTTTTTTTTTTGGTGGGGGGTAGGGCATCTTGCAAATTTGTACAATTTGACATGAGAGCTTTGCTCTTTTTCTGTCTCTCTAAATTGAGATTAAAATATATTTAACATATTAGCATGTTTAATTACAAGCCTGCAGCAATTCCTTTGTGCATGTATGTGTGTTTTCTGTGTAATGACGGCTTGTTGAATGTCTCAGACGATTTGTCAAATGTGACAAGGCCATGCTCATATTTATCTCTCATTAGAATACAAGCTGGAGATGGAAGAGAAATGAAGGCTAGTCATTAAAAATCACAAACTACAAGACAGCTGTTGTTTAACAGCCTTCTCTTCCTCTCACTCCCTCTCCATCTGACTATGTCTCTACCTCTCTCCATCTCATTTCTTTCCACTCTCTCTCTCTCTCTCTCTTTGCCTCCCTCTGGCTAGATCTGGACCTGCTGAGTGCTTCAGTGGGAGTTTGGGGTTCAGAGTGTGTTGCTGTAATGTTATCGGGTGACCAGGGGTCAGCCTAATGCGTAACCTCAGAGCACTAGGCCAGTAAATCATGCTGGCCGGCCCACCCTGGCCCGTTTTGGCCATCTCTCCCTCCTAGATTTACTGCTCCGTAACCTTAGCCAGTCTGCCAGGGCTCAGGACAGCTAAATTGAATACTAAATCCAAGCTGCCGCCACCCAGCCTGCTCCTTCTTAATTGACAGCCTTTTCCCCCACTCTCTGCTCTGTGTTTGTGGGCTTTTTTATTTTCATGAAATGAAATGTCAGGAATGGAATTTAATTGTTTTGCAGCTTGTAAAAGAAAGGAAAAAAGAGGAAAAAGATTGCAGTAGTTACAGTTTGATTGTTTGGACAGCCCGCTCCAAGACTTGATCCTGATGATGTAGTTGATTTCATATAAAGTCATAGTCGGAGAGATTCAATGGTATGCTTGTTTGTGTGAAAATCTCATTTGCTTGCTTCAGTTTGCACAAAATGTCTTACCCTTTCCAACACAAAAGGGCAGATTCTAAAATAGATCCACGCAAAAAGCATTAGCTACAATGATACTGTCGGTCCTCCTGCCTTTTGAGGAACTATTTGGGACAGAAATATCCTGAGGTGTTCAGAGTTATGGGCTTCTCTGTCCTTCTCTATCATTTTTTTCTTCTTCTTCCCTCTGTTTCTCTCCATCTCTCCACCTCTCCCTACATTGTGCTGTACTTCTCTTCATCTGAGCGCCCACTTGCATGTATATAAGTGCGTGTATATGCGGCTCCCTAAACACCATTGACAGTTGCAAATAAAGATGGGTGGTGAGTGCGCTGCTCTCTCCCCCTGCAATGCAAAAGGGGTTGAGTGTCATAAATCACCTTTTGATTTATCTAATCAAGCAAGGTCCTGCTGCATGCAGACATTTGTCATTGGTGGTCGGTTGGTGGTGTCAGGTTTATTCTGCCACTCTGCTTCACTGGGCTGCAGCTGGTGGAGCCCACATAAGGATGAAGGGATGGGGGGAAGGTGGAAAGGGAGGGGAAAGAACAGGGAGGAGGAGAAAAAAGGACACAGTCATTAAGTGTGGGGTGCAGACTCAGAGACAAAGGAAAATGAGAGGATAGTCTCCTGTTCCTGTCTTGTTCTCACTCCTGCCCTCTCCCATTATTTCTCCTTAATTATTTTAGCTATCCACGCACTATTGATGGCAAGATTATGAATTTGATTAGAAACTACAGGCAGCAGGATATTTTTATTTTTCTCTCATAAATTTATAGGTTGTGTTTAGATTGTGCTGGCCATTGTATTTATTTGTGTTACAGGTGATTATATCCTTGGAGGACACTCTACAATTTTGAATGCAATTCCATGCCTCAAAACAACTTTATTATTCACTCACAGGACTTGCCATTTAAAGCTCCTGAGTGGCCATAGAGAGAACTGTTCTCTCAACATTCAAGGTTAACCAACTGTTTTTCTTCATGTGTCATAAGTGTTGATGAAAGCACTAGGTCGAATACGAATCCACACCGAAAGGACAGATCTTCATGTTGCATGTGCACACACTCAAACACACACACACACACACACACACACACACACACACACACACACTACACAAACATACATTTACACTCAATATGACAGTAATCAATGGTGATGTGTGGGCTCTTTCCCCCGCCGCATTGTAAATGTATTTGCAGCCTCTTGTCTGACAATCGCCTCATCTCTTTTTGCAGGGATGTAATTTAGTTGCAAATTGACTGGAAGACGGAGGCAAAAATTGAAAGTTGAAATTAGAAATGGTCATAATAAATACGGGAGGCGGGGCGTAGGCTTTGGAAAGGTCAGGTGATATGACGGGTGCTACCATCCTGGACCAATCTGACCAATGGAGTGTCAGAGACCTGTCATGAAGCACATGATACACACACATATATATATGCACATAGACACACACACAAGCCCTGCAGGGGCCATCACAGGCAGTGGAAGACGAGATTACCTCGCTATTCTGAGCTGCAGAGCAATTCTCGGATGTTCTTGGAAATTCACATTGTGCCCGTGTGTCGCCCCCCCTCCCCTCCCTCACTCTCTTTCTTCCTTTCTTCCCTCCCTCCCTCTCTCTTGTCACTTTCCTTGACAGGCCAATATTTCAGGCTCCAGATATAGGGGATTACAAATAAAATAAGTGGAACGCCTACTTAATGCAACAGAATTAAAATGCATGAACGGGCCGGAGGAATTGATATGCACCCAATACAAACACGAGCCACGGAATAATATGAAATACAAAATGTTTTTTTCAACCCCCTCTCCATGTATCAGTGCTTTGATTTCCCTTTTTTTCCATTTGTGCATCTAGCGTGAAGCGTTGATTCGCAAGAGTGAGGCTCACATATTGCCTTGAGTGACCAGACAAGGGAGGGGAGGCAAGGGGGGGCGGGGGGTGATGGCTTAGGGAGAGAGGGAGGAAGAGAGCAAGGGCGCAGGAGGGAAGGAGGGAGGGAGAGTTGCTGTTGCTGTGTCTTTGTGTTTTGTGGGTAAATTGCAGTGGCAGAGTATAGCAGGGCCTGCACGGCCTGTATCTTAGGATGAAGCTAATGAAAGATTTATCAGCGGCTGCAGCATTTATACAACCAGAGGCTGATCTCTCCACATTGAGCCCTGCTGTTAACGTCACACACACTTACACGCATACATACAAATAGACACACACAAGTAGTGCTGCTACTGTACCACCAGCCGTGACCAAGCCCTGAAAATTTAGCATCTTGTACAGACAGAGGAGTTGTTGAGGCAGCTGGGGAAATGTATATGAACTAATGAAGTGTATAATATTACCATAACATTTAATGTATGTCGTGCTGTGATAATGAGCCTGCCTGAGTTTTCTCCATTTCAAATGTCCTCAGGGCAGAAACACATCAGTGTATATGAATGTGAATAATACAGTCCACGCTTGTATCCATGCTCATGTTGTCCTGTTGTATAATCATTTTTTAAATCATTACCTATGACCTACTGAATATTAATTAGTTACACGTGTTAATCACTCATGATATACAGTATGTCATTTGATCACACAGCCACCAGATGTCATACATTTCAGTTTATTCATTCAAATGTGACGATTCTGTATACTTCATATTTCTATATTAAGATTCCAATTGCTCATACAGCATGAATGTGTGATATATGGGTTGATATATATCAATATGACATGGGCCCCTCTTAATCTCTTTTCACTGTTGTGTTTAAAATGTCATTCTGCTTCTGTGCTCTGCTTTCATTAAAAAAGATAAATCTATTGTTTAGCCATCAGTCATTTTGTAATTTTGCAGCATTCTTATATTTTTAAACTCTTAATGTGAAGCATTTTGTTCTTAAAAGAGATGTATTATAAATATATCTAAGCTTACATTGTATAAACACAAGCTGTAAATAGAAGTAATGACTGATTAATTGATGAATGATCAATGGTTTACATTCTCTGTCTTCTTTTTTCTCTCTCTCTCTCCACTGCCTGCCAGGAGTGAATGCCATATCCAAAGAGGTTACCGGACTGAATGCTATGGTTAAACATTCCCTCCTGCCAGATCGACAAATAGAAAGCCCACCCAAAAGGCCAAAGTCTGCTGAGGGGAAGACCTCTGCCAATGATCAGGTAAAGGTTTGTAGTATATCATAAGGAAACCGCCAATTGTACTGTGTTAGCAACAATCCTGAAAGTGTTACTGGTGTAGGTCCTAGCAACTCAAAGTGTTCTAGCTGACCCTGAAAGTGTCACTGAGGGTGACCAACTGTTTTTACCTTGCCAAAGAAAATCCATTTAAAGGTTTTGAAACTTAGTTTGCATGTATTTACAGTGTACATCTGGCAATTTATATTCCAAATACATGTTGGAATTTGTGTACGGAATGTACAGAAGGCTAATAGCTAATGAGGCATGTTCTCCTTCATAAGCATTAATGAAATCTAACCTTCACTGTCACTGTGGGATGACCTAATGGGAAGATACTTATGAACTGTAAGAAGCAGAAATGCTAAGCTAAGCATTAAGCAATCGCTGGCGCCAGCTTTCTATCAAAGGGTTAAATGCAGCCCACCATTCCCTTCCTGACAGAGCTTTTTAGCATCAAGCACAGTAGGCCAGTCTTTGTGTTCTTAAGTGGAATACCTGCACTAGCCTTAGGCCTCCCTCCCTTGCTTTTTTTCCCCCTTTTGCATCTCTTTAAATTATATGTGTTTTTAAATTAGATTATGAAGTATTAGCTTGTCTGGTTCTGGGCCCTGCAAGGAGGGAGGACTTAGTCATTTCAGAAATGGATTCTATTAAGACAGGTGGTGGGGAGGCAGCTATGTTCAGAGTACTCCCTATAATGAGGGCAAGGCGTAGCTTGGGAGAGTACACACCTTTGTCATCTGTAATCTCCTGATTAGAAATTCTGGCCAATCATGTTTTCTGCTAATAAAATTGCATGAGTTGAGAGACTTAAGTGAATTACACGAAACATGGTTGATTTACATTTTCTGTTTTAAGGTGGGCATGGGGGTAGGTGGGGAGAGGTGAATGTGGTAAGATGAGGTGAGTGGGCAGTGAAGAATGGAAAAGCCCTGTAAAGATTCAATTTGATTTTGCAGATATGCAGTTATTTCACCCCTAACGGTGCAGGAGAGATGATTGTTGCACATCTTCATCAAACCCTTGTTTGTTTTTATAAAGTGCAGTCTGGCCATATCTTAAGTGAGGCAGACAATGAACAGCAGGCTATGCTAATGACTGTGTAGCACAAGAATGATACCCACTAAGGAGTACATCTTGTGGAAGAAAAAAAAAAAGAATTCCTGCTTCTGAATTAATTTTTACATTGCAAAGGATGCCCCTCTTATTGAATATTATTTCATTATTTCTCCACTTACAGCCAGATTGTTATTATACCATTTTGTTTTTTTGTTTTTTTTTTAGGTTCAGCAGTGTCCATATTGCAACTACAGCAGTAAAGATGCCAACCGTATGCAGCTCCATGTGATGTCCCAGCATTCCATGCAGCCAGTGATCCGCTGCCCTCTATGCCAGGATGTCCTGAGCAACAAGATTCACCTGCAGCTGCATCTCACACACCTTCACAGTGTGGCTCCTGACTGCGTGGAAAAGCTGATTCTGACTGTATGTAGAAGTAATGATTATAAATTAGATTTGTGTGCGTGAATGATAACTTTTACTTGACATGATTCATACACACAAATCTTTCATTCATTCAAACAATGTTTTGTCACTTAAAATGTGTGACAAGTCATCATTTTAAGTCACCTAGAAAAGGTGTTTTTATTTTTTTAATAATCATTTTGAGATGTGAACATAAAAATGGGAATCATTTGTCAGGACTGTCCAGTTCTCCCTCTGGTCTCCCATGTAGTTAGGGCAATGGCTTTCCACATTTCTTGCTACATACTTCATTGTGCTCCCTTGATATACTGTCATAAACTTGACTGTTGTTGTCTATTGAGAGGAGAAAATAGAATAAGCTGTAGAATATTCTTTAAACACGTCCTCAACATTTTCAACAATCATTATTTTAAATTGATATACTAATGAAGAAATTATTTTGGTCTTGATAGGTTGTTGGACCTGACACAGCAACACCAAATAATATAATGCATCCCCAAACTGGACAAGACAAAGGTCTATCTCTAATGGATTCCACTACCTCTCTTTCTGATGGGTCTGGAAAATCTCAAGGTGAGCAGAATATGGGACTTAATTTACTTAATTTATACATGGATACAGTATATACATTCATAATTCTTAGATTTATGTATCATTAATTATTGTTTGTCATGTATCAGAAAATAATAAATGATGCAGTGCATTGTACTTCAAATTGTATTTCTACTTTTAGGAAACATCTCAAAGGATGAGCTGACCAGTCAAGAAAAGATTGAATTGGATCCACAGGGTGAGGAACTCAAGCCCCCAAAGGAGGCCTCAGAGGCCCCTGACTGGAAGAGAGCCAGTGGGTTAGGACATGATAGCAAGTCCCCTGACACCCTACAGGACCATCTCAGTGAGCTCCAAAGGCTCCAGCAGCAGCAACAGCAGCTCTCAGTATCTGATCGTCATGTCTACAAGTATCGTTGCAACCACTGCAGCCTGGCCTTCAAGACAATGCAGAAGCTTCAGATACATTCCCAGTACCATGCCATCAGAGCAGCCACAATGTGCAGCCTTTGCCAGCGCAGCTTCAGGACATTCCTGGCCCTCAGGAAGCATTTGGAAAATGGACACCCTGAACTTACTGAAGCTGAAGTGCAGCAACTCATAGGAAATCTTCCAATGAATGGAGATATCACTGAGAGTGAGGCCAGGGCCTTGGAGGAAGCTCAGGCCTTCGAACATGACTTGGACAAAGATGATGAAATTGACCAGGAAGAGAGACCCAGTCCTACGGGAAGTGACAGCAGCTCTCTGCTCGATGACATGGGAGCAGAACCAAAACGGACCCTACCATTTAGAAAAGGGCCCAACTTTACAATGGAGAAATTTTTGGACCCTTCTCGGCCTTACAAGTGCACAGTATGTAAGGAGTCCTTCACCCAGAAGAACATCTTACTAGTCCACTATAATTCAGTTTCCCACCTGCATAAGTTGAAGAAGGTCCTTCAAGAAGCATCAAGCCCAGTCCCACAAGAGGCAAGCAACAGCACTGACAACAAACCATTCAAATGCAATATTTGCAATGTTGCCTACAGCCAAAGCTCAACACTTGAAATTCACATGAGGTCAGTACTCCACCAGACCAAAGCAAGAACAGCCAAAACTGAAATGAGCAGCAGCAGCAGTGTCTCTGGCACGAGTGGTCCAGTACCTGCAAAAAGTCCAGCACCAAGCACACAAGGGAACAACAGTAACCCAGACACTGCTAGAAGTGGAACACCCTCTGCTAACAAAGAAAACACTGTGGAACCCAAAGAAGCTAACAGCGGCAACAATACAAAACAAACAACTACTGACCATGTTTCAGCACAGGCAAGCAGCCACCAGTCAGCGCAGTCCTCAGCCCAATTGCAACTGCAGCTTCAACATGAACTCCAGCAACAAGCCGCCTTCTTCCAGCCTCAGTTCCTTAATCCAGCTTTTTTCCCCCATTTTCCAATGACCCCAGAAGCACTGCTGCAGTTTCAACAACCACAGTTCCTCTTCCCCTTCTATATCCCAGGAGCTGAGTTCAGCCTCAGCCCAGAACTTGCGCTGCACTCAGCAGCAGCTTTTGGAATGCCTGGCCTTACTGGATCATTCCTAGAGGACCTGAAGCAGCAGATGCAACAGCAGCACCAGCTGCAGCAGGCTCAGGCACAGCAACAGGCTCAGCAACAACAGCAGCAGCAGCAAGCCTCTCAGACACAGTCACAAATTCAGCAACAGAAAAACCAGCAACTGCAGAATCACAAATCCAAAATGGAGTCCAGCACTGTGTCAGTTTCAGAAATTCAGATGTCAAGAGAGGCAGAGGACCACTTAGAAAAACAAGAAAACAGAGCAAAGATTGAAAATGGAGGTGATGCATTAAGTGATGGAGGAAAGGACAACAAGGACTCTAAAAAGTCAAAGTTCCCAGAGCCATTGATTCCCCCTCCACGTATTGTGTCAGGAGCAAGGGGCAATGCAGCCAAAGCACTGCTAGAGAACTTTGGATTTGAATTAGTCATCCAGTACAATGAAAACAGACAGAAAAACCAAAAGAAAAACAAAGACGGAGTTGAACAAGTGGAAATGAACACGGACAAGCTTGAGTGTGGGATGTGTGGAAAGCTTTTCTCCAATATGCTTATTCTCAAGAGCCACCAGGAGCATGTGCACAGCCACTTTTTCCCATATGTGGAGCTTGAAAAGTTTGCCCAGCAATACAGAGAGGCCTATGACAAACTCTATCCAATAAACCCTGCTTCACCTGAGACTCCACCACCACCACCACCACCACCACCTCCTCCTCCTCCGCCACCTCCTGCTCCAGCCCCAGTGACAGCTCCTCAGCCGCCTTCTACATCAATGACCAAGCCCCAAACCCCAGTACCCTCCCCAGTTCCTGTTCCCCATCAGGCCCCACACCAACCCTCTCACCAGGCACCACCACCCCAGCCACCGCCCCCTCCTCCACCACCTTCTGCCCCTCCTGCACCTCCCCAAGTGCAGCTCCCTGTTCCCTTGGATCTGCCCATTTTCCCACCACTAATGATGCAGTCTGTCCAGCACCCAGGCTTGCCCCCTCAACTGGCCCTCCAGCTGCCCACTATGGACTCTATTTCCACAGACCTTACACAGCTCTGTCAGCAACAATTGGGTCTTGATCCAAACTTCCTCCGCCAGTCTCAGTTTAAGCGACCTCGCACTCGTATCACTGATGACCAGCTTAAGATCCTCCGTGCCAACTTTGACATCAACAACTCCCCCAATGAAGAGCAAATCCAGGAGATGTCAGAGAAGTCTGGTTTGCCCCAAAAAGTCATAAAGCACTGGTTCCGTAACACCCTCTTCAAAGAGAGGCAACGGAGTAAAGACTCTCCCTACAACTTTAATATTCCTCCCATTACTACATTGGAAGATATTCGAATGGAGCCCCAGCTCAGTGCACATGAATACTACAGAACTGAGTCAGCCATCAACAAGAGGTCCTCCAGGACCAGATTCACTGATTACCAATTGAGGGTACTTCAAGATTTCTTTGACACTAATGCCTATCCAAAGGATGATGAGATTGAGCAGCTCTCCACCGTGCTCAACCTACCAACCCGAGTCATAGTTGTGTGGTTCCAGAATGCCCGCCAGAAAGCTCGCAAGACCTATGAGAACCAGGCAGATTCTAAAGACAATGAGAAAAAAGAACTAACCAATGAACGATACATCAGAACCAGCAACATGCAGTACCAGTGTAAAAAGTGCAACATTGTGTTCCCACGCATCTTTGATCTTATCACTCACCAGAAAAAGCTGTGTTATAAGGATGAAGATGAGGAAGGTAATGAGGACAACATCTGTGAGGAATACACAGATTCTGTTGAGCAAGGTCCGGCTAAGACTATCCAGCTACCTTTAGAGCCACCTAAACAGTCCCAAACAGGAACTGCCACCAGTTCTGGCTCAAGCTCCCCTGTGATGGCCTCTCCTCGTACCAGCATGGGGAAAACCTCCCCCAAGCCAGACACTGGCCCTGAAACTGAAGTTAAACACACTGAGGCTGCCCCCTCACCAGTGATCAAGTCACTACCAGAACCCAGACCATCTAAGGCTTGCACACCTCAGCCACCTCCTCAGAAAGCTCCCCAGCCACAAATGTCAAGACCCCATTCCCAGCCACAGGCAGCCACAGTGCCATCAAGTCCACTCTCTTTGGCCCTTTCCTCACTCACAAACAACCTTCCCCACCAGATGCTTCAGTACCAGTGTGACCAGTGTAAGATTGCATTCCCCACTGTGGAGCTATGGCAGGAGCACCAGCACATGCATTTCTTGGCTGCCCAAAACCAGTTCCTTCACTCTCAGTTTCTTGAAAGACCCATTGATATGCCCTACATGATATTCGACCCCAACAACCCTCTAATGGCTAGCCAGCTGTTATCTGGAGGCCTTTCTCAAATCCCCTCTCAGGGTAGCTCTGGTTTGGCCTCTGCAGCAGGCTCTGGAGCAATGAAAAGGAAACTTGATGACAAGGATGAAAGTGCTAACGATAAAGATGGTGGAAACAGTAGTGAAGAGCAACACAGAGATAAACGTTTGAGAACCACCATTACGCCAGAACAACTGGAGATTCTCTATGACAAATACCTACTTGACTCTAACCCAACAAGGAAGATGTTGGACCACATTGCACGAGAAGTTGGCTTGAAAAAGAGAGTTGTGCAAGTTTGGTTCCAAAACACTCGTGCAAGAGAGAGAAAGGGGCAGTTTAGGGCTATAGGGCCCTCCCAGTCCCACAAGAAATGTCCCTTTTGCAGAGCACTGTTCAAGGCTAAATCTGCTTTAGATAGCCACATACGATCCAGACATTGGCATGAGGCTAAGCAGGCAGGCTTTAGCTTGCCACCAAGCCCAATGATGAATCAAGACAATGAAAGAGGAGAAAGCCCAAATAAGTATAATTTCTTTGACTACCCACAGCTGCCTACCAAGACTGAGCCAAATGAGTATGAGCTGCCTGCTGCATCCTCAACTCCACTCAAACCATCTGAGGCACAAGTAAAAAACTTCTTAAGCCCTTCATCCTTAAAAGCTGAAAACTGTGATGAAACTGAAGGGCCCAATATTAATTCAGCAGAAGCTTCATCTTATGATCTCACTAAAATGGACTTTGATGAGACATCATCAATTAATACAGCCATTAGTGATGCTACAACTGGAGATGAGGGTAATAACAATGAGGTTGAGAGCCTCACCGCCAATGGAGGCGACAAGATGAGTGACAACAAGAGTGGCCTTGTGCCAAATTCTGATGGTGGCAATGAAAGGTTCCAATTCAGCATGGTGAGCCCTTCTCTCAGCTTCTCTGGAAAAGACTGTGACTCTTATTTTAGTTCCAGAGATGATGAAATGGATGAAAACAATGACAGGAGTGAATCATCAAGCCTAGCTGATCCCAGTTCCCCTAGTCCCTTTGGGACAGGTAACCCTTTCAGCAAGTCTGGGAAAGGTAGCAATTCTGGGGACAGGCCAGGCCACAAGCGATTCAGGACTCAGATGAGTAACCTGCAACTTAAAGTCCTCAAAGCCTGTTTTAGTGACTACCGCACTCCTACAATGCAAGAGTGTGAGATGCTGGGCAATGAGATTGGACTCCCCAAGCGTGTTGTCCAGGTTTGGTTCCAGAATGCCCGAGCTAAAGAAAAGAAGTTCAAGATTAACATTGGAAAGCCATTCATGATAAGTCAAGGCTCACCAGAGGGGCCCAGGCCTGAGTGTACTTTGTGTGGTGTAAAGTACACTGCCCGGATGTCCGTCCGAGACCACATTTTCTCCAGACAGCACATCACCAAAGTGCAAGAAACCCTGGGTAACCAGGTGGATAGAGAAAAGGACTACCTAGCACCGACCACTGTCCGTCAGCTGATGGCCCAGCAAGAGCTGGATCGTATGAAGAAAGCTGGTGAGGGACTCAGCCTGCCTGGCCAGCAGCAACAGACTGCAGTGGACAACAATAATGCACTTCATGGTCTCAGCCTACCCTCAGGCTACCCAGGGTTATCTGGCCTTCCGCCGGTGCTACTTCCTGGGGTCAATGGGCCATCATCACTTCCTGTTTTCCCACCCAACACACCTGGTGAGTTAGTATGACGAACAGTGAAAAAAAATTAAATAGACTAGAGGCTTTATGAACTGAGCTTTATCATGCACTATTTTATTCTACTATACTACTGGTTATTCTGTATCACAGTGGTGTTTGTCAAAAAGTCTTATTTTTTAAAACTATTTTAAAATAAAAAATTGTGGGAGTTAGTGCATGCATAATGTCAGCATCAGAGTTGACCTGCTAATTGATAATTCAGAGATTTTTTACAACAAATGTATCTATTTCATGGTTTTTGTTTGTGTTTGTTTTTCCCCTTATTGTAGGTTTGGT